CGTTGGAGCCAAATCGGCGGCCACTTTCTGCGTCTTCGGCAGTCATGGCATCGGGTAAGCTCGACGTTTTAAGAAACATGTCAGCCATGAAAGGCGTAGACAGATCAAGGTTGAGTTGACCATCTTCGACGACCTCTAAGCACATGCCGTCCAGAGAGGAGACGCTCGGGGGCCGCTGACGAGGCATGGCTAGCGGCGACTGCCACGATCCCTCGTTCGGCCTATTGTTGGCGACTTCAAGGGCTTCGTCAAAACTGAGGGTCATGATGAGAGTAAAATTGGCAACTGCTCAAGGAGTATGCTTAGAGCTCCTAGAGTGACCCCACCCTAGAGGATGATTTCGTGTGACGCCGATAACGGCGGAGCGAAGCGCAAGTTGTATTTATTTGCCCTTTAATCTCGTAGGAGGCGCTCACCCGTTGCGTTGCGAACATCAAGCCGTTTCATCCTTGAAAAGTTGAAGATGCTTGCTCAAAGAATATTTTTGAAGTAGGCCCCTTGTTCTTCGTCAACGTAGCCGTTGGCACTTAGAGGCTTAGGAAGTCCAGTAGTTGATACAAGACGTAATGGTATTATTCAGAGCCTCAAAATAGGTTTATGGCAATTAATTTCTCAGTAAAGAGTCTATACTATAGACTGTGGGGGAAAGTTGTGTTAATACAAGGCGTAATGGAATCATTCAGAGCCACTCAACAACGTTTTGGCTGTGTACGGCATCAACGCTGTGGTGGTTGGCATCAGGAGTGTGGGGGGCATCACTTCAATGGCACCAGTTTCGAAGATTTCACAATGGCATCATCAGCAACCAAGCATCGACGGTCTCAGCATAGCGCTCCGTCGCCTTCCGTTTGCTTCGACTCAGACGATCTCGAGGCGGACGGTCCAGACAGACATGAGAGAGTCACTTCTCCGATCCACAAGGTCGGCCTTCGTGCATCCCCACGCCGCTCCTCGGCCAGAAAGCCTGGTCAGCATCGAAGTCGACGCTCCTATAGAGGAGCTAATGACCTTGGGGCGAGCAGCCCTCCTAGATCGAGGTACTGTGAGCATATTACTCTCAGGGAAGCTGAATGGCAGGTTTATGGTTGAGGACTGTGTCGGCACCTATAGTAGCAAACCTACATGCATGCCTCGAGGGTTCTACTACGAGGGAGCTCTAGGCCAGGCACTGCTGTAGCTGCTATATACTCCTATTTGAAGTCCTCAGGGATCCTATGGTTGTGTAGTAGCAGCCAGACGGTCTTCGGATGGCTCGCCAGTGGCCCTGAAGATATTCTCAAATACCTCTCACGTCATTCAGCCGAGTACAAGCGACCCTGACTGGTCCACTCTGAGGGAGCTGAGAGTTCTCCGCCTCTTGCCTCAGTGTGACCTTATTGTATCACCTTTTGAGGTGGGAAGGTCTTCTAGCGCCATACCACTCCATGAGTTCTTCTTCAGGTGGTACGATGTGGTCCCGGCGACCGTACATTGTGCCTCGTCTCGGAGATGATGGGGGAGTCTCTGGAGTCGTACACCTACTACGTCTACAATGAATGCTACTCCCCTCACTCTGCAGCAACTGCAGCCTCCTCTCCCAGTGGCAATGGCGATTATGGGACGATGTAGTACTTAGGAATGGGGACTTTTCTGAATTCCTCTTACTGTGTTGCCTCGATTACGTTGAAATGCGGTTGCAGCAGCGGAGTTCATCGGTCTAGTGCTATTTTGTCATCTCATCGAGCATCTCGTTTCTCGATAACTGATAGGATACCACATCACAGGTGGGTACATATCTGTCCTCTTCGATCAGCGGGAGCCCCTCCCTCCTGAGTGCCTTCAACCACTGCGCGGTCCGATGGATAGCTCAGCTCTTCTGCGCCTTACAGTTCCTCCACGACTGTGGAGTGGGCCATCGTGATGTGAAATGTGCCAATATACTCCTACCCATAGGAGCTGCTGGAGCGATAGAGAGAGCGAGCTCAGTGAAACGGCTACGAGTGTAAGCAGAACTAAAGTACATGTAGGGATCTATGACTCTCGTGCTAGGCCTATGGTCAAGTTATGCGACTTCGGGTTGGCTCGCCCATACGTACGTCAGAAAAGCAAAGTCCGGACCCCAAACGGGAGACGGCGGGACACAGCGCCTGAGAGACTCCACAGGGCATCGGACTATGGCGGGTATTGGTGGCACTGCCCCGTCGAGGGGATATGCTGGGATAGGTACACACAGCATGTGGGAACTCCGGTGTGTTTGGCACCGGAGGTCCTGTGCTGGTCGAAGTACTACAGTTTGGCTGAAGCTGATTTGTGGAGTCTAGCTGCTGACGTCATAGCACGGCTCGTATCGGGGCCTTGGACCAGCGGCCTTTTTGCGGAAGACTACGGTGGTATCGACTATATCGAGGGTAGATGGGCTCATATTGAATATCAGAAATTGATGTATATCAGGGAGTAATGTAGACAATCTTCACGATCAAGATGGGTGGATATTGCGCCGTATAGCGTCGATCATAGGCAGACCCACTGATAGAGAAGTCAAGGCAGTTTGCAGGTGCGGTCGATGGGGGACGACTTTGACATGTTGTTCTGTTCAGGAACGTAGCCTATCGCCGGGTGCTTGAAAGCCAGTACTTTGCGGACCTTCCGGAACCCTCAGCGGATGAGCCCGATTCGGGATTACGAGAGTAGCTGGGACAGCATTCGCGGGGTAATTGACTTGTGGTGGTGGTTTACAGGTTGTATGAGTCTAGCTGTCCTGCTGGTTACAGTCTACTACGTAGCATACTGCGATGGGACCCAGCAGATCGAGCCACGCTACAGGACGCGATGGCCAGTGAGTACTTCTATGCGATGGGAGAGGACGAATGGCCTGCTTGTGATTGGCGAGCTGAGAAACTACAGGACTCGCAGGAGTTTGAGTAAGCTGAGACGTTACTGAAGTGTCAGAGTCTATTCGGTCAGTTATGAAACAGGCGAGTGTTGGGATAGTCTAGCTCTGGAATCGGAGATGGCGTGGGAGGTGGAAGCATGGCAACGCACGGCGGCGAATTGCCAGATAAATCCTCGCGGGCGAACTCGAAAGAGTTATTGAGCAAACCAGCGAAGCGGTGGTGCTCGTGAAATGTTATTATTTCGAAGCTCAAGTGCGGGTTTGATGTTGTATCTGAGAAAACTGCTCTTACCCAGTGTTGGTGGCATGTGTCTTTCACTCGGTATCATGGCTCTTTTTCCAAGAGGAGCGATCATCATTATTATACAGTACTCGATACCATTGCAGTCATACAAATGACGCCTCATATTTTCTTCATTTTTTGAACATTTCGATCTGCTTCTCAATTCAGTATGCATTATTATTATGATTCTCATATCGAACGCAGAACAAGTCACCAACACCGCCACCATCGGATCATCGCTATTGAGTGTTGCAGTACATTAACACATTCGATCGATGCGTTATTAGTGTATTAGTTTCATATCAATGTGTGTTAGTGTGTTGTGTATAGTATCACATCCACACCCCATTGAGACTATAATAGTGAGGATGTAAAACTAGAACAAAACGCAACGGTGCAAGAGACTCGTAGGAAAAGGGCAAGCAGAATATCAGTTCATCAAGAGAACGTTCTGGCTTACCGTCAGCTCGAGAAACGACACTGCACAACAGGCAGCGAGAAAAACGAAAATGGAAGAGTTATCAGAATGCTACTTAGTTCTTGCACTGATCAGGGGACAAGCTGAGATTGAGCACACCAGCCATATCAACCTGGAAGACGTTGGTGTTAGCGTTATAGCTGCACTTCATAAACTCCGACAACTGCTGAGTGTTCATGCCCAAAGATTCAGCTAGCTTGATGAGATCAGCATTGTTCCAGTCAGGCTCCACAGTAGTGCAGTCAGACTTCATAGTGTAACCGATGTTTTTGGCGTTGATCATACCAGCAACGTCGAGATCGAACGAGTCATCGTGGAGCTCGACACTAGCAGGCATGCCCATAGCAGAGCCACAGTACTCACCCTCCGGCTTCTTGCAGTTGGAACCAGAGCTACCAGTAGTCGTCTGGGAAGGCGACTTGGTGGTCTGTTGATCATTGTTAGAGGAGGTAGTGGTAGCACTCTCAGACGGGGTGTTGGGCTCCATGAACTTGGTGGTCGCCTGAGGGGCGATGGTAGTCGCAGCAGGAGCGGCAGTAGTGGTGCCATCATCATCGCTGCATCCGGTGAGGGAGACGGCAATGACCGCACTAGCAATGACAGTGATGAACTTCATGTCGCGTGAGATAGAAACTAGGGAGAAAAGTAGACTTTTTTCTGCTAGGGAGGTAGCTTAGCCCGGGACAAGCTTTGTGATGTACTTGTCTCTTGTGTGGTTACGGACCGTAACTCACGGCCACTCGAAACCTGTGACGAGCACAGCGTCTGTCTACGGATCGTGTCATGCAGCAGCGCTTTAGTGATTTACCCAGTGAGATAAAACTACACTGAATATAATTGCAGGAGAATGCCTTACAAGGCCAGATTGTACTTTGCCGACGTAGACTATCTCCATCATAAGCTTAGCTAAGGGATTACTTAGCCGACGTAGACTATCTCCATCATAAGCTTAGCTAAGGGATTACTTAGCCGACGTAGACTATCTCCATCATAAGCTTAGCTAAGGGATTACTTAGCCGACGTAGACTATCTCCATCATAAGCTTAGCTAAGGGATTACTTAGCCGACGTAGACTATCTCCATCATAAGCTTAGCTAAGGGATTACTTAGCCGACGTAGACTATCTTCATCATAAGCTCAGCTAAGGGATTGCTCAGCCGACGTAGACTATCTTCATCATAAGCTTAGCTGAACGATTTCTTAGACAGAGACACATACTGCGCATCGCTCGTTATAGCGATTAAGACGAATTGGATCAACGCACCTACACTGTTGACACTGCAGAACTGTTGAGATGTTGTGTCTAACTCTTGTTTATATTGAGAGAATATTTTGGTGAATCGATCTAGCGTGATTAGAGACTCTAATCACGTTAAATCGAGATTTATTGCCAGTGACATGTAGCTGATTACTCCTTACCAACCTCACTATCACACCTCGGCGATCAAAAGCATCCTGTGGCACAACTGTGCACAGGTGACAACCTACTTTCCTTAGAGCTAGCTGATAATCAGTACATTCACAAACACCACTCCCTTCGCACTGCACTTGGCAAGTTAATAAATTAACTGTCGATATAGAATATACAATGGTGTGACTGCAAAGCGCGATGAACACGCTAACTGGTAATGAAAACAGAAGAAACAAGAACAGCAGAACGACTGCTGATGCACAAGAATCGACCACAGCCGATTGACCTTTTAGTTGGAACATTGATCGACAGTCATGTCCAAACTGTGACCACAAATCTGAGTAACGTCAAGAGTAAAGACGTTAGAAGTAGAGTTGTAATCGCACAACATCATCTGAGCTAACAATGGGGCTGGCATCTCAGCAGACTTGGCCATAGCCTCGTATGAGGGATTAGTCGAGTCAAGGACAAGCTCGGAGCAGTCAGAGGACATAGTGAAGGGGACGTCGTCACAGGACATCTGACCAGCGAGGTTCATCGAGAAGTTGTCGTTGTCGATGGTGACTTCAGCGGGCTCACCCATGTAGCTACCGCAATACTCGCCACTGGGCGCCTGACAGGTGACAGAACCAGTTGGGGCACCAGTAGTAGACTGGAGAAAACCGGTGGTAGAAGCCACTGTAGTAGCAGGGGCAGAAGTAGTGGTGCTATCATCATCACTACATCCGGTGAGGGAAACAGCAACGACGGCACTGGCAACGGCAGCGATAGACTTCATGATTATAGAATAGAGTAGATAAGGCTCGTTGTGTCAGTAGGGTTAGCGCTGTATAGCTGAACTGAGAGAAGACAAGCTTTGTGTTGTGCGCCAGCTATCTGAACACGGAGACAAATATAACAGCGGAGGTTTGATTCAGCTCGGATAGGCTGCGTACCATAGGCAGGTCTCTCTCGACACCTCATACCCAGTGGCTCGGGTAAGAAGAGCGGACGTCGAATGATGGCAAGCTTGTAACAGGAATACACGCATACGCTATGTACACCTACCACACCTCGAGAAGACGCTACACATGGGATTCAGGTATATAGGAAAGTCCCATAATAGTCCGATAAAAATATTCGAGTTCGACCGTAAGCCTAACTAGGGTGCTGAAAGAGCTCGTGATCCAATTTTGTAGTTAGCGAGCAGGTCCGAGTAGGAAATCCAATTCGGATGGAAATCAAGAGCAACAATCTCTCGCTTTTGCTCATCGGCATTATACCAAGGTTCTAGCTAGCGTGGGAACTTGGATGTCAGGTACAGTATCATCACTGGCGACGTAGCTGGGAGTTGTACGGGAGCTTCAACGAGACACGTCATGAATGTAACTGCTTGCGCGGTTCACAGTGTTCATAATCGTATGGACTCCATACAATGGAGTGTGTACTGATCTGAATCATCCCTGTCCACGAGCAGTATCACTTCATTTCTCAGCAGAATCGACGGAGATAGTTCTCAATCGTGTATACGCACAGATCAGCTGACCAGTTACTTGATCTCGATCAGTGGGGACATTGCTCAGCCTCCGGATGCATCAACTCACTCAAACTAAACACGCCATTTTGCTCGAGATAAGGAAGCTGGAATTGATGAGGACGGCAAAGCACATCGCTCAAGTACACATCTAGAAGTCCTTAACACGGTGAGATACCAATGAAGAACGAAAGCCGAAAAACCAACCTCCCGAGAGACTGCTAGTGTCGGCCTGATATCCGGCTAGAAATGGAAAGAAGATAGTAGTACACGATCCAATACATGATAACGTGGATCGATGAGTGGCACATTCGGGAATCGAGGCATATATGATAAGCCTCAAATCAAGTATTCCACGGTATTATGGCCACCAACACCAATGTCACTCTGACGTCTGCTGCTCGTGATGTAAAGCGAAAATACAATATCACAACTGCAGCTAGCCACCCCAACTATATCTACTCTGATATATATCTTAGTATCACAAGCACGCCGAAGTGGACTATTCTCTAACAAGTGCAGAATCACAGTTGATGGGACCACACAATGACTCACACCCACGTATTCCGCTGAAACTGATGAACACCACACGAGCTCTCTTATAGATGACGATCGTTTCGACTATGTAATCACACTACGACCGAAACTCAGTCAACAGATTAGAAGGCTACAGTGGGAGAGCGCGCTCTTACGGTAGCACTCTAGCCCACAGATAGTAGGAAGATCAGGAAGACTAGAAGTGATAGCAATTGTAGAGACTGGAGCATTATACACAAGACAATATTCATGATCAAGATGGTAAGTAAACCTTTCCTCATCGAATATGGCTTCCTCATTTATCACTGACCCTTAGTGAGCTTGAGAGAAGTAGTCGGTGGGTAGATCACTGAGAAAGTATCATCCCGCACTGAGTATGTAATCGAGAGATCCTTATTCAACTCAGCAGTAGTTGTGCCGCGCCTGTTCGCTGCGGCAACTACTTGGTAATTACTATAGTCGGGTACGAATACAGTGCAGTCGTACATGTAGTAGCCGATATCACTGAGAACATCACCCGAAGGTATACTAACCGAGAATGACTTTGACTTCACAGTCACGCTACCAACGAGGCCTTCATACTCGAAGTAGTACACCCCGCTCGGACCCCGACCACACACAGCAGCATCACCGGATGAAGACGAGTTGCTATTGAGCTCATTTATAGAGGCATCAATGGGCTTGCGAGTCGGTGCGAGAAACGATTGGTCTTGTAAGGAGGCTTGCTCGATGACTGCACGGTCAGTACAACCGGAGAGGGATAGTGCGATCACCGCGCACCAGAATAATATCGCTGAACGCATTGATGATTAAAAGAAGAAACCTACTTAAGACTTCACAAGTCATCTTCCTCAAACTTCTAGCATTAGCCAGAGAAAGCCTCCCAAGCAAATCCTAAACTGAGGCAACCCTTTCCTGGCAGCTCCCAAGAATGTCTGTTCCTCCGAGTCCCTACCTGACCATTGCCCAATCTTGAATTGAAAACGCAGCGGTGAGTTAACTCACGACGATATGCGAAATTAAGACCTTCCAAAAGGAGACAGAGTGTTGTGCAACGCCCACAGCGCGTGGACGGCGTAACGGTATGAATAGCTGGCTCTGTAATGTGGACACAAAACACGCTTTCGTCTCTTTTCCATTACTTGATGCGAGATTGTCCTGTATCGAGGTTAGATAAGTATTCACAATCAGGAAAACCACTGTAGCTCCCAGTTTGTGAGTGCCACGCCGACCGCGCGTTTGCTGAGAGTAGCTGTGCAGCTAACGGTGTGCATGCGTGCAGACGGTTAGATTGTTTGTTTTTTTGCACAGCATAATGCTCAGAGCAAGTGTATGTGGATTTCCTCATGACTCTTCACCGCAGAAGAGTTGATCAGCTTCAGCAGTATTTTTTTCCGAGGCAGGGGTCGCAAAAGCTTCCATCTGCAGTCGACCCGATCCCACACTAAACTTATCTCTAACACGGGCGCGACCACTGTGGCGGTCATCGTGCGTGGAGCTCATTTTGCTCAGGGGCGCTGCATTAAAACCATGGAATGCTAGTTATGTCTTTAGTTGTTAAGTTTGTCATTGACTGAATAGAGAAAATTTCGACTCTCCTGTATACCGATCCATCGGCTGATTTGACATTCTACCTACCATTATGAATAAATTTCTGCAAAGATTATTTTTTCACTCACCAGGGATGCATCTACGCCTTCAAACACATGTCGAATCAGACGACCCCCGTGTTCAGGATAATATAATAGACATTTCGAATGCACTCTAAGTTATCTGACTGTGAAACGTCCAATGGGAGCATTCGGAGACTGTATACCTTAGACCTACGATACGTAGGATAGACTCTTACTTGAAGACGACTATCAACAGACCCAAATTCAAAAATGCTTCATGCCAATCGATCTTTCATAAGCCGAGATCAACCGTACTAGCGAAGTCTGACCACGAATAATGCGAACAAGTCGATCCCAGAATACCGAGACTTATCCATCATAGCTAGAAGCCATTTTTGTGTTTAGATATCATGCCGCTAAGTTAGCGTAGCCACATCCTATGGCTAGGCTAACTTAGCTTATTTAGCTCGATCAAGGACGTGGAAATATTCTACTCGGGTATCAGAATCTCTTAGTGTTAGTGCTCCTGATAACAGTGGAATAGTTCAGTACTACAGGTGTCTTAGTTCATTCCCACCTATTCCATTGTATTCAGTTCGAACTGTTTTTTGTTCCGATATGAAGTTCTCCGTCGTTGCAGTTTCGGTTGTTGTCGCTTTCTCATTGACGGGGTGTAGCGATGATTCAACAACTACTGTTGCACCTACCACGAGTGTGGTTACTACAGCAGCTGCTCAGGCTACCACTGAACCTTCAATCGAAACAACAACTAAAGGGTCCTTTATGCCTCGTACCTCCACTTCGGGTGATGTGACTACTGGATCGTCGAATGACGCCACTACGGGTTCCTCTGGTTCTGTTGTGACTACCACTGCCAGCAGCGGTGGCAGTTGCTCCGCTACACCGAGCGGCAAGTACTGTGGCAAGTACATGGTTTTTAAGGGTACCGCTACTATTGATAATGGTACCTTTGACTTGACTGTGAGACCATTGGTGAATATGAAGGGTGTTGATTATACCA